ACCAAAGTGCTGGGATTACAGGCATGAGCCACTGTGCCTGGCTGATCTTCTCTGCTCTCAACCACTGGGCTGTGCTCTGGGCCAGCCAGCTCTGAGTGCAAGTGTTAGGGACAGGGCTGGAGGAGGTTAAGGAGAGAAAATGGCCAAGAGTTGGCTTCAGGGAGGGAGGCAGTGGGTGCGGGTGGAGCCAAGGCAGGCTCCCAGAGGCCGAGGCACTATTCACCAATCTGTGGAACTGGGAAAGGCCTCGTCTTCCTGTCTATGAAATGGGGACAAGAACACCTGCCTCAGTGGTAGAGAGAGTGGTATGAAGGTCTTTTGTGCACCCAGGGTGCTCTGTCAATGTAGCCTGGCCCAGCTGCCTCACCCCAGCCCTGCCCAGTGGTGCAAGCACACTCATTGTCCCCTTTGTCCCCTTCTGGCTGCCTCTGAGGGATCCTGCCCCCTGGGAATTTCTTTCTCTGTCATTTCCTGGAGGAGCTAGAACCCGCTTTGAAACCTGTCTGGCTCTTTAGTGGGAGAGAGGTAAAAGCAGTTCAAGGGATGTGGGTTGGAAGTATTTGGAAATGCAGATGGGCCGCACGAGCACCTTTTATTTTTGTTCAGAACATCTGAGTCTCCCCGTGGGGACTCCCCCGCCCAGAGTAGCGCCTCCCCGAAAGGCAGAGAGGATGAGAGAGCACCCGGGGGCTGCCATGAGCTCAGGGTAGGCAAAAGCAAGGCTGTCGCTCTCCTGTCCCACCCCTACCAAGCCACCAAAAATAGAAGGGCCAAGATGTCAGTCCCAGGGAGGGGCCAGTTGGGGAAGCCTTTGAAGCTGGAAACAGCCGGGGAAGGAGGGCTGAGAGAAGCAAGTTTGTTAATATTCAATGGGCGGCAGCAGCAGTTGTCCCTGGGTTTTCTGTTTCCAAGGCAAGCAGACATCACCAGCCTAGCTCAGCAACTCCAGGGCCTGTGAGGCAAGGCCTGGGTTTGGCTCGTGACTTGCTGGGTGACATTGGGGAACCGGAAACCCTCTCTGGGTCACTGTTGTCTCATCTGTAGCACGAGGGATGGTGACTAGATCACCTCCTGGGTTCCTTCCTCCTGCAGCGTTCCGGGACTCACACCTTTGGCCACTGACCCCTGCCCCACCTTCTGAGTGGGGCTCAGGCCTAGGGCTCAGGGACTGTGCTGAGCATGTCTCTGGGAAGCAGCAGGGCGCAGGGGCACACTGATGAGTGGTGCAGGTGCCCAGGGGCAACATCAGGGCCGTTTAATCACCAGGGCAGTCAGGCATGGACAGGTGCGTTTGGGGGAGGGGCCCACTGTGTCAGCTGTTAACACTTAAGTTCCTGGAGCAGAGAGGTCTGGAGTTCTGGGGAGGGGCTGGGGAGGGGCCAGGGAGGCAGGAGAGGGAACACTGGGAGGATTTAGGGCTTGGCCTGTTTATCAACTACTGTGGAAGTATTTCACTGTTCTGACAATCCCTGCAGCTGTGTCCACGGACCTGCTGTCTATCAGCCCTGTTCATGGAGAGGGAGAGATGGAGAAGGCTGCCAGGGTTCTGGGAGTGGGTTTCTAGTCCTTCCCACCATCAGAAAAATTCCTGTCACTCAGAGTGGGGCCAGGTCACTGTTGCCCCTTGGTCCATCCCCCAGGGTTCCTGGCCTGCCACCCTTAGGACACCCCTTTTTCCCTGGGACTGGGGAACAGTGAAGGGAGGCTCTCTTCCCACTCCTTTGCCCACAGTCTCCGTGGCTCCACTTGCCCAGCAGCTGCCCTGGACCACAGGCCAGATAGCCTCAGTTCCTGGCTCCTGTGTGGCTGCCCCCTCTGCCATCAGACCACCCCCGCACAGGGCCCATTTGGCCACCCTCCCTTATATCCCACGTCCCCTAGGTGAGGCCCTTTTCCATCCCATTCCAGCCTGGCCTGTAGGGGAGAAAGTTGAGATGGGGTTAAAGGGTGGGGTCAGCCAGAGCAAGTCCAACATCAGGTCCAACATGCGGGGACGGGGGCTGAGTTCTTGGTCTGCCGGCTGCCCCAACTTCCCTATGCAGCAATTTCAGTTTCTATTTTGAACAGTTTGGGTTGGTTGCTTCTCTGCCTTCCTGCTGGGTGTTTATAGTGAGGAAAATAATTGGTAATATTTGCACAGATGTGCTGGCATTGCAGCTTGTCACGGGCACCTTTACCCAGGGGACCCTCCCTGCCCCCAGCCTGTCTCTGCCAGCCTGAGGAGCCAGCCTGAACGGGAGTAGCTGAAGCCCCTATGCCTCCCAGGGGCCTCAGGCAGCCAGATGCAGGCGGAGCAGGGAAGCAGGAGCCTCAAGTGCCCCAGGCATGCCAGGGGAAGAGGGTGGGTGGGCGTCTGATCAGGACAACGCTGGGATCCACAGATGGGTCCTTTCTAGGGGCTGCATGAGGGAGGCCCCCAGGGCTTCATTTCTGATTCCATTTTCTTCTACAGAGCCTGAATTTGCAGCTGAGGGTAGGGATGGGGTGAAAAGGAGAGGGGCAGGTCCAAGGTTGAAAATAGAAAATTGTGGCCAGGCACTGTGGCTCACACCTGTAATCCCAGCACTTTGGGAGGCTGAGGTGGGTGGATCACCTGAGGTCGGGAGTTCCAGGCCAGCCTGACCAACTGAAATCCCATCTCTACTAAAAACAGGGCCTGGTGCCACATGCCTATAATCCCAGCTACCCGGGAGGCTGAGGCAGGAGAATCGCATGAACCTGGGACGCAGAGGTTGCAGTGAGCTGAGATTGCACCATTGCACTCCAGTCTGGGTGACAAGAGTGAAACTCCATCTAAAAAAAAAAAAAAGAAGGTAGATAATTGTTTGGCTTCTCTTTCCGCCTCTCAAAGCCTGGAATAGCATTTCAGAGGGCTGGGAAAGAGGTGGGAATTGTGGACTGTGAGACTGCCTGCCCAGTCCAAGCAAGGCCTGGACCAGGGTACATGCTGCCGTGTGCCCTTTCCAGTGCCCCAGCCAGGCTGGTGATGGGTGGGACCACAGCGCAGGCAGGGCCAGGTGAGACTCCTCAGCCACCATGCCCCCTTCTCTTCTTCCTTTTTAAAAAATAATCTCTCTCTCTCTTTTTTTTTTTTTTTGACAGGGTCTCACTCTGTCACCTAGGCAGGAGTGCAGTAGTGTGGTCATGGCTCACTGCAGCCTCAACCTCCCAGGTTCAAACGATCCTCCTGCCTTAGCCTCCCATATAGTAGTGGGACCACAGGCATGCACCATCATCCATCACGACCAGCTAGTTTTCAAATTTTTTTGTGGAGATGGGGTCTCACTATGTTGCCCAGGCAGGTCTTGAACTCCTGGGCTCAAGCAATCCTCCTGTCTCAGCCTCCCAAAGTGCTGGGATTACAGGTGCGAGCCTCCTCCTTCACCTCTTGTATGTGCGCGTGGTGCACGTATGGGTGCGTGTGTGTGCATACAGCTTTTGTGCATGTGTGGGCTGTGCCTGTGTACATGTGCATGTGTGTGCACAAAGGTTTGCGTGGTGCGTGGCTGTGCCTATGTGTATGTGTATGCATGTGTGTGGGTACATGTATATGCAAGTGTGTGCATATATGTGGAACATGTGCATGTGCGTGTGAACGTGCATGCTCTGTGCCAGGGTTTGGCTTCTCCCAGAAGCCAATCCTGAGACAAGGGTTCAACTGTAGGCGGTTTATTGGGAGATGATCCCAGGAAGCACAGCTGGGGAGTAGGGAAGGAGGCAGGGAGAGGCAGTCAGCCAGTGAAGGGCATGGGTCAAGCGGAATGCTGCTGCAGGCAACTGAGCTCAGTCCCACTGGGGAGCCCAGGGAGCCTGTGTAGAACACGACCGAAGCAGCCTTCGGCATGAAGAGGTGAATGCAGAGGGGATCTAGGTGGGCACCAGCGCGTCTGCTGCTGGGTGGGTGGGTGTGGTGAACGTGGTGATATGCCGCTTAGGGCCCCTTCAGGAAGGATTGACAGCTTTCCAGCTGCTGCAGGTCCTGGCAGCAAACAGTCTTCAGGGCAAATCTTTTCGGGTTGTCACAGCTGAAGACCATTGCCTTGCCTGAGGTCACACCCTCTTTCTGGGTGGCCCACATATAATGACTGGTCAAGAGGGAGTAGAAAGACCTGGCTCTTCACCCCAATTTGGGTCAACTCTGGCTCCTCTGTGGGTTGGCCTAGCCTGTCATTCAGGACTGCATTGCAGCCTGACCTCTCCGTCTGCCCAGATCTGCCTCCTTCTCCACGCTTCTACAAATGTTATCCCAACAGCAGCTCCTCATATCCACCGCACAGACTAATCTGTTTCTGGGGTTTGCAATCCATGCAGCATGTGTGTGTGCATACATGCATAGCTGTGTCTTACAAGTAGGTGCACACATGGATATGGGATGTGCATAACCTGCCTCCCCAGGGCCCTCCATCCAAGTGACCTAGAGGCCAGACCAGTCCCTGTGCTGGCCCAGGCAGGCTCCTGGGGGCTCAGGTCTGAGAGGATATTGGAGATTCGGTGCTGAGCTGGGGCCTGAGGCAGGCAGAGATGCCTTCCTCTCCACATTGCCCAGGAGCAGCTCCTGGGATGGAAGAGATGGTGAACCCAAGAGCAGGAGGCAGGGGCATAGACTCCTTGGCCCCCTCACACCCTGTATCCAACCTTGGTAGCCCCAGGCAGCTCCGTGGAGCCTCGGTCACCCTGGCTCACATCCCTTCCTTCCTGTCCTCCAAGGCTCTTGAGCCTAGAAGGGCTTTTATTTCAGGCATGGATCTTGCTTTGGCTTGCCTAGAGCAAGCCAAATGCAGGCCATCACCCTGCAGCCAGACTACTCCAAGCAGAGAAGTCCTGAGATGGTGCAGACATTCTGGCCACAGCTCCTCCTAAGGCCCATACATGGGCTTGTCCTCTCCAGAGGCTGCCAGGGGTCAGAGCAGCAGACATAGCAATAGGTCAGTCTTGGAGAAGAATGGGATTCAGGCAAAGGCGGGGCAGGTAGCACAGCAAGAGACCTGGAGGACACCAGGTGTTACAGAAACGTTTATTACAAGGATAAATCAGTACAATAATGGGATCTTAAAACTGCTGTGATGCAGGAGTGGAGGGCTGGGCAGTGCCCAAGGCAGGGGAGGACAGTGGGACAAGGGATGCTCAGTGGGGGAGCCACAGCCCTGGGTTCTATATGGGGCATGGGAATGACCAGGTTCCCACATCATGCACAGCAGGGGCCTGTAGCTTGAGTCCAGACAGGCCTGCTCACATTAGTGCTCCCCCCTTTGCCTACCTGGATGTCTCTAAAATTCTGGATGTGCCCTAGTGGCTGAGGGTGTTGAGAGCGGCCCTGAGCAGAGGTATCAGTGAAGATGCCCCAGGGGTAACCAGGTACCCACCACTGACCCCCTAGCATTCAGAGATGGGAAAACATCATTGGTCTTTGAGAGACAGGCCTGACGTTCCTCCTTGAGTTGGTGGAACCTTTAGGAATGGCTGTAGTTTGACTCCAGCCCGGATGTTCCAGGCAGAATCCAAACAGCCTGGAAGCTTCCTGTGGAAGGCTCCTGCTACACCCCAGCCTACAAATACAAAGAATTATGTGACCAAATCCCTTAGATGAATTCTATTCATCCTAGGCCTTGCTCAAGGGACACCTCCTCCAGGAAGCCTTCCTAAGCACCGCTGACTACTCAGCAGGCCATTCCTTCCATGAGTCCCTTCCCTCATCTATACTACTCCCTAGGGTCTCTCCTTGTTGCATTTTCTGCAGGGCTGGACCTAGGGCCCTGCACTCAGTGGCTGGTGAGCTGAGGGCACTCTCTGGGTCTAGTCTACTTGTGATGGCACCAGCTCATGGACTCCCAGGCAAAGCCCAGAAAAGGATGATGGGGGTGGGGAGTGGGGGGAGAGTAGGAAGACTCATGTAGTCCAGCAATATTTCAGGACTCTCTGTCATTGCAACTGCCTTTTGCACCCACATAAAGAAGCTCCAAGAACCTGCCCTTGGTTCAGAGTTTACACACCGAGGTTCCTCTTCCCTATCTAGAATCTACAGTGCCTCACAAGCCCATGGGGAGATAAGCACCCCGTAGAATCAGAGACAGCAAGAGGCCGCCTTGTCTCCACATATTTCCTTCTTGGCCTGCTGAGGTCTGGGCATGATGGGGCCAGAGTGGAGTTGGGGGAAGCTCAGGCTGTCCCCAGGTGAAGATCCCTGTGGGCTGAAAGGATTGGGACAGGTCCCCTTGTGCCCTGGGTACCCCCTTTCCTCCCCGTAACCTCCTGCTCTTTCTCTGTGGTGAGGTTAGGAGGGTAGGTGGTGGGCTGGCTGTAGGGCAGGAGATCTTCTAGGGAATGGGCAGAATGGACTGAGCTAGGCCCCTCTGAGATGGCCTGGTGGGCAGCCCTGCCTTCTGCTTCCCGTCTGTAGCCTGGGTTAGAGAGTGGGGCCCCGGGCCCTGCTCTGGGGCTGGGAGCAGCGGGCAAGCAGAAGTGAAGGCTGAACTCTGCAGGCTGTGGAATGGGGGTCTGCCCCTCAGCAAGCCACTCTCCCGGGATCATCTTCAGGGGCTGGGCCTTTCCATAGAGTCTGCAACCCCAAGCCCCACTGCTTCCTTAGGTGGGCAGGGGAGTCAGGATGCAGGCCCTACTGGCTACTAGCCATGGCCGTTCTGGGACATGTAAGCTGCCAGAGCCACCACCACGGCCACGTAGAGACCGGCCCCCACGGCGATGGCGAGTGTGGCTAGGAAGAGGGCCCGGCGGGAGGTGGTGCTGGCCAGGCGGAAGTCCCCTTTGGAGATGGCCTTGCTGGTCTAGGGAGAGAAACATGCTGATGAACAGGAGTGTCCCCACACCCAGCAAAACAGCCCAGCCTGCCAGGCCCCTGACCCCATCCTGTAGACGCGATGCCAAGCCCTCAAGTAGAGAGATGGGCCAGGGAAGAGCCGCTGGGCCCCAGGTGCTCTTACCCCCTGGGAGAAGTAGAAGGCAGCAATGCCCAGTGGCCAGAAGCAGCAGAGCATGGAGAAGAGAGTAAGGCCCAGGTGGTCCCTGGGAGGCAGCGTGAGGAAGTTGTCTTCGCTTTCGCTCTCCGTTGAAGTGGCATCGCTCTGCAAAACAGTAGGGTTTAGTGACCAGGCCCAGGATCAGCCCCGCCCCAGCAGGCTGGCAAGAGGTTTTTAAAAAGGCAATGCCCAGTGGCCAGTGACATGGAGCGACAGGCAGTCTCTTCTGCCGCAGGTGGGGGTGTAGGCTGGCCTTGGCACTTTCTACCAAAGCCTTAACAATGGCACAATGATTCCACTTTTAGGAATTTATCACGAGGAAAGAAGGCAAATACCTACATGAGGGTTGTTCATCATAGGATAGCAATTGTGAAAGAAGAGAAACACTCTCAATGGGCTGGTCACAGCGGCTCACACCTGTAATCATAGCACTTTGGGAGGCTGAGGTGGGTGGATCACCTGAGGTCAGGAGTTTGAGGCCAGCCTGGCCAACATGATGAAACTCCCTCTCTACTAAAAATACAAAAATAGCTGGGTGTGGTGGCAGGTGCCTATAATCCCAGTTACTTGGGAGGCTGAGGCAGGAGAATCACCTGAACCTGGGAGGCAGAGGTTGCAGTGAGCTGAGATCGTGCCATTGCACTCCAGCCTGTGTAACAGAGTGAGACTCTGTCTCAAAAAAAAAAAAAAAAAAAAAAAAAAGAAAAGAAACAATCTCAATGACCAGTGACCAGGAGACTGTGTTAATAAATGATGGAAGAACTTGCAATGGAAGACCATGTAACCATTAACAATCACCTCTCAGGAATACATTAAATTACGTGGAGCAATACTCAAATATGTTGCTTAGAGAAATACAATCAGATTATAAAACTATGTACAGCAAGATCTCTTCTGGGGAGTGGGCTGGGGGAAAATGTGAATAAGAGACTTACACAATCATTCACCAAAATGTTATCTTTGAGTGCGCTGAGTTTAAATTATTTATATAATTAAGAAAACAAGAACAAGTGCTACTGAACAATGAAATAGGCACCCCAAAGCTCATGTTTCTCAAAGCATGGGCTATACCTGTGTCCCAAGTCCCTTTTCTTTGGTAGTGTACAGATTCCTGGGCCCAAATCTAGGCCTATTAGATCTCAATATCTGGTGATGGGGCTCTGGGAACTTGCATTTTGTTTGTTTATTTATTTATTTATTTACATTTTTTTGAGTCAGTGTCTTGCTCTATCACCCAAGCTGGAGTGCAGTGGCACAATCACAGCTCACTGCAGCCTCAACCTCTTGGGCTCAAGCAATCCTCCCTCTTCAGCCTCCTGAGTAACTGGGACCACAGGCACACGCCACCATGCCAGGCTAATTTTTAACTTTTTTGTAGAGTCGGGGTCTCCTTGTGTTGCTCAGGTTGGAATCTGCATTTAAACCTCATTCACTCACCTCCTCTTCCTCCTGGTCGTCCTCCTGGTCCCGCAGCTCCTCTTGTACCCCATAGGACACAGTCTGGATGGTGACATTCTCTGCAGCTTGGCCAGGTCCTGTGGGCTGCTCTGGGGGCCCCTCCTGGGGCTCCCTGTCCTCTGTGAAGCTGGTCTCACAGCTGCCTGCCCTGGGCTCCTTCACCTTGTCTCTCCCCAGAAGGCAGCTGGGCCGGTACCAGGCCTCTACGGCCAGCTGCAGGGACCCTGGGTCCAGGAGCTGGTGAGCTCCAGCAGGCCCAGCGCCGCCTAGGAGGTAGGAGTAGAGCTTTTCCTGGTAGGACCAGCTGGGTGGGGCCTCAGGGTAGGGATAGGGGCCATGGAGGTGGGAGGGGCTCCTGGGCAGCAGCGGGTTCTGTAGTTCACTCAGACTTTCCATGGTTCTGGGGGCAGCTGCTGGGGAGGGGAGCCTTGGCCAGCCGAGCAGTCCTCAGAGCCTGTCAGAAGAGCAAGACAGACAAGCACTGAGGCCAGGGTACTGGAGGCAGGACCCAAAGTGGTGAAGAGCATGGGTTCTGCAGTCTGACTCGGCTCAAACCCTGCCTTTGTCCTTTGCAAGATGCGGGACCTGGAACTGGCTACTTCACTTCTCAGGGCCTCCGTTTCTTTGTCTGTGGATTGGGGCTGGCAGTAGTGCTTACCCCACAGAGTTGGCTTAGTCATTTGTCCATTCAACACATATTTATTGAGCATCAGCTATATGCCAGGCACTGTACTGGATGCTTGGGGTACCACGGTGAGAAAGATGAGAAGTAGGGAGAGGGAGCAGATGCATGCTTTGTCTTCACAAAACTTCCAGTCTGATAGAGAAGACAAGTGTAAAATCACATCTCTGCCTGAAGAAGTACAGCAGGTGCATGTAAGCACACACAATGGAGGAGCTGACAGAGACCCAGGGAAGGCCGTGAAGCTGAGATCTGAAGAGTGTGTGCAGGTCAACGAGGTGAAGAGGATGGGGAACACGTTTCATGCAGAAGGAAGAATGTGTGGAAAGGCCCCGTGGCTGGATACAGGAGAAGGCAGGTGTGGTGCAGGGCACAGATGGAGGTGTGAGATGGGGTGTGGGAGCCAGACTGTGCAGCCCTGCTGGAGTCTAAGAGTAGGTGCTAGGGTGGGATCTAGGTCCTGAAGCCTTCCCCATGGCTGTGTGTAGGGAGTGGACTGGAGAGGGCTGGACTGACTGACCCCGTTAAGGGGCCTTTGCTATGGCTGCAGGCAAGTGAAGATAACTAGGGTTCAGTGGTGGTACGGATGGAGGAAAGGGAACTGATCCTGGGAGATACTGACAGGACTCAGTGGCAGGTGGGATTTGGGGTTGAGAGAGAATTCATTCTAGGGTCAAATGGGAGTGCGCTGAGCCCAGAGCTTGGCACATGGTGTGTGCTCACAGCTGTCAGCTCTTACTGAGTGAGGATGCTTGCCCCTAGCAATGGTCTTAGAGGGATACACCTTAGTAACTTCCTCCCTAAGGCAAATTGAGACTTTCAGAAGTTCCTGCAGGATCTAAGGTGGGGCCTCCTGGGTGCTGAGGTCTGGACCTGCATATCCCAGCTGGAAGTATGGAGACACCCAGGGCTTCCCTTCCTCCTTCAGCTGCTCTGAGCACCTACTGAGCACCTGGGAAGCCACAATCCCCCCACACACATTAGGCTGTGGCAGGTGCAAGTGGGGTATGGAGAGAGGGAAGGGGCAGTCTAGGGGCTCCGGGGACCTCCTGCTGTCCCCCTCCTTGGCCCATCTCAAAGCTGGAGGGTGATGGGGCTGTGTCTTGCCCTGGATTTCTAGGCTGAAGATCGGGGATTCAGTCCTGGCCTTGAGGCCTTGGGGCCTTGGGCAGATCTTCGTGCCCTCTGTTTTCTTATCTGTAAGGTGTGGAAGGTAATAGGGATTACCATCCATACATCCCCACAAAGTTGTTTTGTGGAGCCAAAGACATGGCTGGGATGAGAATGTGTGGTAGATTTTGAGAGAGGGGGTTGCTGTCGCCCTGACTTCTGGGCTTCAGACCTTGGCGTCACCCATCTGGGGCCATGTCTGGCCTTCTAGCAGGTCTCTGCTAAGGGTGAAGGACAAAGTGCAGGGAGATCCTGCTGCTCCCAGGGCTGCGATTATCTAGTCTCCTTTCCAGTCCCAGGCCCCATGAGAATCCACAGCCAAATCCTGGAAAAGAGCAGTTTCTGCTTCTGCCCCCAGAGAAATGCCTGGATGCTAGGAAGCTGGCTCCAGGAACAGTGCCCAGGTATTGGGACAGAGCAAGGGAGGAGTGGGACCAGGCAGGCCTGGACGAAGACACTGAGGGTGTGTCCATGAGGGGTCAGGATCCCCTGGCTGACTTCCTAGGAAGCAGGGTGGGGGTTGTTGGCTGCATGAGGGCAAAGGGGCAAGAAGACACTGCCCATGGCTCTCAGCTGTGAACCCAAGAGTGGCTGCCTCTAAGCTGGGCTCCAAGAACATCTAACAAACAATCACGGGGGGACTCAGAGAAGGGGATGTGGCCCAAGCACCAGCTCCTCCACCAGGGAGGGCATAGATGGTCTGGAGACACTGGGCTGCCATGGGCCTCAGGGCCCTGCTGGTACATTAACAAGAGGTGAGTTCCATATAGGGTGTCACGCAGCTGTAGCAGACGCCTCTCCACAGGCAGAGATGGGGCACACAGGCTTGGGCAGGTCATGCAGGCTTGCATCATAGCTCTTCAGTGCTCACAAACGCAGGGCCTCCTCCTTCCTCTCTGGGGGTCAAAAATACAGGGAACCCCTTGGATTATAGTGATGTGGAGGGCATGTTCCAGCAGGTGGGGAGCAAGGAGTGCCCAAAGCAGAGGCCTTGCTGGGCTGGGCTTGTGGCTAGGCTCCTCTGGGCAGATTTCCAGGAGGACTGGTCTCTTCTGCCCTCCAAGGGCAGCTTTGGAGCCCCTGCTATGGTCTCCCTTCTCCCAGCAGATGTGACCACAGGTGTGGGGTTGAGGGCATGTGAGCACTGTAAGCCGTATGGAGTTGGGAGTCAGGTACACTGGGATTCCATGTCTGGTTCACCCCTTATTAGCTTTTTGATGTGGCCCCTCAGTTTCCCCAATGAGTGATTGCATGAAATGGCCACTGATGTCAATCAACTGTAGCACTAACATTCCATGATCCTGTGCCCCTAAGGAGCCCCACAGAAGTGAAGTCTTCTTGTCCTCTGCCCCCTTTTGAGGGTCGGTGGTAGGTGAACACATGCAGAGCCTAGTGAGGGGCACAGTCATCCCCTTCCCTACCATAGCCCCTTGATCAGGTTGAGGAAGGCAAAGGAAAGCAAGGCATCAGTTTTCCAGATGGGCAACAGAGCCATGGATTCGCCTCCAGCTTCCTGACTGCCCCTGTACTGCCCCAGTCGCAACCCTGCCCCTCCACCCCTGCCCATCTTGCCCACCCTCTGGGAATGGAGGACATGGCCCCAAAAAGTCCTCAGCCTCTCCCCCAGCTGGCCATAATGTATGTCCCTTCAACCTGCAGCCTCGAGTCAGGTACACTGTGCTGTCACCATCCATGGGGGCTGAGGTATGCAGGGGCCTTGGGGTGGGAGTGGGCAGCCCCAGGGCCCACAGAGCAGATTATTGCATCCAACTCACCTTGCCCTACACTCTGCCTCACCAGGAGGACTGCCCTCCTGTCTGATCTCTCCAGGAGGGATGGAAAGATTCCTGAAGACCATAAGGGAATTTGAAGATTGCTTGTTCAAAGCAGGCAGGGGCAGCTGAATCCCAGTTCATCCCCTTATTCCCCCATCACTGCTCCTGTCAGACTTTCTTGGTCAAAGTACACCCAGCTGAGCCTCTGCAATCCCAGCCACACTTAGCCTTTCCCAGCTTTCCTCCTCCCTTGCACTCTGATGGTGCCTTTAAGCAGGGCTCAGCACAAAGACATATGGTCCTGGCTTTACACAATATGAAAAACTGGAAGCCACCTAAATGTCCAGCAATTGGGAACAAGTTAAATAAATTACTGTGCACAATACGGTGGTACGAGGCCTTCAAACAGGTTTACAGAGAGTAATGACGTGAGAAAATACTCATTGCAGATTCAGTGAGAAAGAAGAAAAGAAAATGGTAAGTGCATGTAATCTCAACTCCACCAAAATGTCAAGAGTGATTATCTCCAGAGGTGGGAGCACAGGTGCTTTTCATTTTCTTTTTCACACTCTGGTTTTTCCGTTTTCCATATTTTTTATTATTATTATTATTTTTTACAATGAACATGTACTACTTTTAAACCAGAAAAAAAATTAAGTGCATAGATTTCTTCTGAGCCAAATTATCTAAAATCAGTTTAAAACCTCCTTAGGCTGAGGGGTTCTTTCTAGGTTTGGCAGCTGAGCACAGCATTAAAGCCTGCCCCTACACACACACACACACACACACACACCCCCACACCCACACACACCTCTGCTTCCATGAAGCAATCCGAGTTAGGAGCAGCTGCATCTGCTCACAGTCCAGCCAAGGGTCATGGTTCTCTATACAGCTCATACTCACCCCATATCTTACTAGGGCCACATGGGGAGTTCACGGACCTGATCCTGGAGACCCAGCACAGAGTCCTGACCAGAAGGAGAGGGTGGCAGGTCCCCAGACACAGTCTTCCTGCTCTAGGCTTGGCCTGGCATTTCAGCCCATTCCTTCGGTCTGCCTGTCCCTGTTCACTGGAGTAAGGGACCAGCATTCAGAGCAGAACAATTATCATCACCACCATTGTGGCTTTGTCTTCCCTGGACAGTGTGTGCCTTCCAGACCCTGTGTGGTGGCCTGAGGACCTGTGGGTGAGTGTGCCCACGCGCGCGCGTGTTTATGCATGAGTGCATGTGCATGTGTGTGTGTGTACACATGCGTGTGTGTACTCTGCTTCAGAGGAAAGATATGAGAGGATCTGGAATTCTGAAGCTAATATTACTCCAAATCGTGCAGCTAGGGCTGTGGGTCTGCGTTCCACAATGGGAGAGGGAGAGAAGGTGGTTCTGAGGCCACAGCACCCAGGTTGTCTTTTTCTGAGCTGAGAACTTAGCTGGGCCCGAGGTTTCCCACTCCCTGATTTAGGGATGGAGAGCACACTGCCACCTTCTAGACCAGGGGCAGGAAACCATTCAGGAATCCGCTGGAGTCCAATTACAGCCTCCTGCTGAGTCCAATTGCACTGGAGTTCAATCATACAGTGTGACATTGGTTTGCTTATCTGTCAAAAGTATGAGAGATTTAGGAGGAGTTGATTTTTAACACCTCCGCTCAGTAGGACTCTAGGATTTTATTGGGAGAAGAAGAATAACTTACACTTACTGAGTTTTTGACCATGTGCCGGGAACTGTTCTAAATGCTCACGTTGACTCTAGATTCCTAGTGGGAGAATAACAACAGGATAGAGGGCTTCCTTTTTCAGCCGGGGCAGACTAAGTCATGTCACGCCAA